CACAGGATCGGGAACGTTGGAAGCTCTGTCTGACGTGTCTGCCTCCGCGACCCGAAAGGAGAAGCGGCGACGGATGATGAAGAAGACTTGTCAGTTTTTCATATTGAGAACGGTGACTGATCTTGTGAAAAAAAGTTGCAATCATATTGATAATCTTCCATTTAACTGCTATTCTCTGTTCAGAGAGGACACGAATGATCCAAAAATTTTGTCAGGTATCAAGAACTGCCATGAATTATTGTTTTGATTCCTTTCTTCTAGGTTTGTAAGCAGAAATTTTTATTTAAAGCAGAACTGTTTCCCGGCCTGACGCTCCTCCTTCCAAGGAATTAATGAATTTCGTTTGCAATCTAGGGAACCGAGCCGTTATCTGGGCTACTTTGAGCGACGGACCGACCAAGACTGAATTGGGGGTAATTTTTAAGAGGATGATTGATTTAATGATCAGTTCAGAGGGAGGAACACATGTATATTCGGCAGGTCAGTAGAGAGATTCCCAGTCTTGACCTACAAAGAGATACAAAGCAGTGTCATTTTCCTTATAATACAAGATACTATGTGATTCTTCTGCGACAAGATTCAGAAGGTAGACAGCACAGGAAAGTTTCATTACGACAGGACTTTCTTCGTGAATTAACATATAATTTCTTCCAGTCCATCCGTCTACGTTTGCCCCCAGAATTCCCGTCTCTTCAGCAGTAATCTACCAAAAAGCGAACAGTTCTTTAAGCATATGCTAACACCACCATCTGCTTGACTGACCGATTTTGGCTGCTTCCCGCTCTTAAGATATGGAAGTAGAATTCTAGGACAGCGACTACCGTTTCCGTATTTCTAGATATTCTAAACTATGTAATTACCAGCATAGACCAGATCACCTCACGGCAAAACGCAAACCAGTCGCAACAAAGCAGTTTTATTGTTTGAAAATGTCTTAATGTCGGTCTTTGTCGGATTTTCATGATCAGGGCCACTTGTGGAACCCCGCTTTTCTTAAAGTGCGGTGCTGGTTTTCTTTTCTGTGCAATCATTCAGAAATATCGGCAAATCAAGACGAAGTGTACAGCTATATCATAAGCTTAAAATGACTCCTGTTTCCTTGCCACAGAGTGGTACTAATTTATCACCTAAAAAACAAAAGTGAATGATCAAAGGGACACCCGAATTGTGTCTAAGAACTGAGTAAAGATAGTCGTAACACAGAGAGGCAACATTATTCAAAAAACAAGTCTGGCGTGGAACAAGTATCAATTCGCCGAATGGCTCTGTTACTGAGAGCCCATCCCGTCAGGCGCTAAAAAATTTGTCTAATTTTTGACGCTCCACTGCCTGATCTATTAATTTATTCTTTATCACCAATTATAAACAGTAATACAAGCTATCACAGCAAGTCCATATCGACCAAAATACATATAGCGGACCGACACTTAAACACGTTATTCCAACGCTAGGGTGAACCCGCTTTTCCAACCAGCACGGTTCTCAGCTGGCGCTGTAAGGGTTGCGCATTGCCGTCGATCATCTTGATGATTTGTCAGCTGAAGATTGCCATGCACCGGCCGTACCATCCATCACGCGACGATGACTTATCATGGCCATGTAACGTACTTCCGTTGGCTATGGCGGACACCTATTGTCACGGCCAGTTTCCACCATCGAACATTCGGGGTAAGATGATGGCATGCGAACCGTCGTCGCTGATATCTATCACTCACGGTTCTGACGGTAAGTTTTACGACGGAGTTGGGCCTCAGCAACCCTTGCCCAACATGTCGATGTTTATTGTGGCAATGGCCGCCAATGGGAGCAGCGCTTTTAGAATATCCAGTTCGATCGGCTACAAAAGATTCATGGAATACGGGAGGAAGCTTCGGCAGCGGTCTACAATTTTATGAACCGAAAGCTTTGAGTCACGGACTGATTTTACGATGTATTTGAACTAGTGAAAAGAAATATTTAATCAAGTAATATAGCGAATCAGAAAGTAGATAAGCTATTGTTAGGAAAAGTACAGCAATTAGCATTATTTCATAGAGGAACAATAAATGTTACCTTCACTGTCTCCAAAAAACCTTTCGAGTAAAGCAATTATATCTCGAAACGTTACTGACAAAAAAGGTGCGTTTATTTCTAAAAAGCAACAAAACACAGCAAAACAAAAGTGGTAAATTTGGATGGCGTGCGGTTCAACTTTTTACCTCGTACAGCACAATTAGCATGTGACTACATGACTTTCAAAAAGAAACATTTGAAACTAAAATCACCTAACATCTGGCGCTGATTATCTGCAGAAAGTCTGGTTTTAACGAGGCGCCGCCCACCAAGAATCCATCTATATCTTTCTCCTTGCCTAATTCTTTGCAGTTTCCAGCGCTGACCGAACCTGGTAGAGTGGACTGTTAAAAAATACATAAAAAGAATAGAAAGATATTCGTCAACCTCCGTATATGATGCGACAGTGCTTCGCTACATCATCCGATACGTTCTTGTGAAGCCATTCACGAACATCACGATGAACCTCCTGTGCCTAAAACAAAAAAATATCGACTTTAGTGTTATATACAAACAGCCAGCAGTAATTTTTTTTATGTCAAAATTTCGTTCGTTTTTTACTTTTCATCATGATGCCCTACTTTTATATCGATGGATGAAATAAGTATTTTTATAAATAAAAAGGACTTTAACCAGCAAATGATTCAACTAATTTTCTGAAAGAAATTAAGACCAAATACAAAACTAAACAGAGTACATCTACTGTTATCTGAAGTTCTGAAGTCTATAAAGACTAAAAGGAAAATCATTATGACTCTGTGATCATAAATGTTAAACACATGAAAGCAAGTTATCGACAATCTACTGCACCCTTCAGATATTGGCCCGCTGAAGGACAAAGTTAAAATAGTAAAAAACGCATCCACTAATAAAATTCACGCAATTTATTCTCCCCTGTGGAGGGGTGGGTGGGGACGGCAGCACAACGGGATAGTACTCCCGTTGAAATTTAGAGGTGAAAGTTTTAAACGCAAAGTGAAACGTAAATCTTTCTTAAATGCTATTCCATTGAGCAAGGAATTCGACCTACTATGCCTCGATGCAATCGGCAGAAACACAGGTGCAGAATGTTGATCTGCAAATAATAGGGAGCATAGCGTTTTGGTGTGGTCATTCCAAAGCATATCAGACATACTTCCATGCTGTCACTGATAAGTGCGCCTTTCGGCTGCAATTTGCCCTAACTCACTTGATACCCAACAAATATTAGCACAAAGCTAAACGTAACTAATTAGTTTACAACCAGAAAGCACTGAATTCG